TTTCACATTAAAAACACACGCTAGGAGTGGAATTAATGTACAACCTTGTCTTTTCCTGGAAATAAATAATGTTCACACACAAATATACAAACTACTCAAGAAAAAGAAAAAGAAAACCCTTCCTCGTCCACCTTTTTATAAGTATTTTCAATAAAAAGATACTTTTTGTTTAATAATTCTCAAAATGTATACTAAATTTACGTCATTCATATCAGTTGCATACTATTAATAATTATGATAATCCAATTCAGAAGACAAACACATTTTAACACAGGAAAGTGTTTAAATCTTGACATTTGAAGTTATGTACATAGTTCTCTGTGATGAGGAATTAAAAGACTTTCAAACTAAAAATATATTAGGATAAAATTCTGTCAGGTGAAATGGAAATACATTTTAAGAGAAAAAGGAGCTGTGTAAAAATTCAGGTGTTGAAGAGGCTATTCATGTATATTTTTCCAACTGCACATACCCTTTAAAATGCCATTGATATCTCTTTTTAATTTCATCTGCTGCTTTTTTAAATTAATATAATTTGTTTTTTAGAGTAGTTTGAGATTACAGGAAAACTGAACAGAAACCATGGAAAGTTCCCGAATATTGCCATCCCCCCAGCTCCCTCTATTAACATCTTCCATTGTAACAACTTGTTACAATTAATGAGCCAATACTGATACATTATTATTAACTAAAGTCCAGGGTTTATTTTACATTAGGTTTCACTCTTGACAGTGTACATTCTGTGGGTTTGGACAATATTATAATGAGTTGTATCTCCCATTATAATATACAGATGGGTTTCACTTCCCTAAACCCCCCTGTTCTCCCTCTATTCATTCCTTCTTTCCCCCAGTTCCTGGCAACCACTGGTTTGGTTGTTTGTTTTTTTTCAAGAGAGGGGACGGGATGTATAAAGAGATCAATGCGAGAGAGAAACATTGATTGGTTACCTCCCATACACTCCTCAACCAGGGACCAAACCTACAACCCAGACATGTACCCTGACTGGGAATGGAACCAGCGACACTTCACTTTGCAGGACAACGCCCAACCAACTGAGCCTCGCTGGTCAAGGCAACAATCACTTATCTTTTTACTGTCTCCGTAGTGTTGCCTTTTCTAGAATGTCATAGAGTTGGAATCATACCATCTGTAGCCTTTTCAGCCTCCCTTGTTTACTTGTAATATTCACTTTAGTTTTCTCCAGGTCTTTTCATGGCTTAATAGTTCATATCTCTTTATAGATGGATAATATTCCATTGTCTGGATGGACCACAGTTTCTCTCTTCACCTTTTGAAGGGCTTTTCAGTTTCTTCCAAGATTGGGCAATAAACACCCATGTGCAGATTTATATGTAGACATGTTTTCAGTCCTTTGGGTAAACACCAACCAACGTGATTGCTGAATCATATGGTAGGAACAGTTTCATTTCGAAAGAAACTGCCAAACTCTCTTCCAAAGTAGCTGCACTATTTTGCATTCCACCGGCAGTCAGTGAGAGTTCCTGTTGCTCCACATCCTCACCAGCATGTGGTGTTATTAGTGTTCTGTATTTTGGTGATTCTAAGAGGTATATAGTGATACCTTGTTTTAATTTGCATTTCCCTGATGACATATGATGTTGAGCATCTTTTCATATGCTTATTTGCCATCTGTCTATCTTCTCTGGTGAGGTGTCTGCTCAGATCTTTTGCCCATTTTTAATTAACTTGTTTGTTTTCTTATTGCTATATTTTAAGAGTTCTTTGTATATTTTAGATAACAATCCTTTATCAGACACGTGTTTTGCAAATATTTCCTCCCAGTCTGTAGTTTGTCTTTTCATTCTCTTAATAGCGTCGTTCTCAGAGTAGAAGTTCCCTCTCCGAAGGGAGCAGGAGACGGAGACTAGATGCTGGTTGAGAGCTGACTTCCCCTGAGGAGGCCACAGCCCAGAAAGACGGGAAGGTAGTTCCTTTTAAGGGACTTGGACTCCTGCCTCTGTAGACACTGGCACCTTGGGACTGCACTGGGGCAGGCACTCTGACTCCCAACTCCACTGCCCTCTGCTGCCACCCGCCTGCTCTGTGCCCCTCTGTCCAGCACTTCAGGGTGGCGCCTTGCCTTGGTGCTGACTTGCCCATGATTGGTTTCCTGATAGGTGCGTTTTGCCTTGCTCACTGGGCTGCATTTGTCTTTTGAGCAGGGATGGGGTTTTCCTCCTTAAATGTCGTCTTACAGTGCCCAGGAATTAGGACTGGGCCATTTCTAATGTGAGAAACCAATCCACGGGAGGCAACGGGCAGACCAAAAGTGGGTGAGAAGGCAGCATGGGTATTCAACCTCCACCCGCGCCAGCTGTGTGGCTGGGAACAGTTGTGCGCCCTCTCAGAGCCTCGGTCCCTCCACCTGTAATATGGGGGTGCCAGTCGCATCTGCCTGGAAGATGGGTCATAGGTGGGAAAATGCAGAGACGGTGCTCTGCTCAGTGCCTGCTTCTTGCAAACCCTCCTCCATGCCAACGGCTACTGTCATGCCTCTACAAGACTGGGATGTGGATGGGCTGGACTGGCCATCAGTCTGATCTAGTCACAGCACAGAAACAAACCCTACCTCTGCTGGCTTCTTTCTTCCCACCAGCCACAGTTTTCTCAGGTGGGGATGAGGAAGACTTTCAGAGGGACGCAGGGCTCAGAGCGTGGTCTCTGATAATTTCAGTTTTATTCTCAGTGTTTGGGGATCAGTCATGTCCCAAATGGACATTGCAATTGGTAATTTAGCACGAAGAACTGAGATGGTGATGTGTTGTTTATAGGGATCAAATGGCGGGGGACCCCAGCCCATGTTGGGTCCAGCTTCAGCTAATGCTCAATGTGAATTCAGTGGTTGTTTAGGGAGGTGCTTACCTCCTTACCCAGCTGAGAGCCCCCCTGAAGCTGCTTCAGACTGTCTGTTCACTGCTCATCACCCCACCTGGCCCACTTTATTGCGTTTTAACATCTGCTAAATCTAGAGGCATCTAAGGATTATAATGTGGAGCATGTTCTCATTTCTTAGTGGCACATAAAATACTGGTGCATCTTAAAATCAATGCTATCTCGGAGTCCGTGAAGTAACGGAGTCGGTATCAATAAATATTGGTGCATAAAGTCTGTGCACCAAAAAGTGGGTGGCCTTAAGCAACATGACCCCCACCTTTAGATCTGCATTCTACTGTGAAATGGGCTCAAGACTCTGCTCTTCTGCAATGACTGGACTGAACCCACGTTCAAGCACATTCTGAAAGCCAGAGGAACAGTAGATGTCAGACATGTATTACAATTATATCATTACCACACCCCCTCTTATTTCTACAAGGACAGAGCTCAGGAGGTCAAGGGTCTAGCAGGGGGCCATGTGACCACTTGGTGACTCAGCTGACCAGACCACTGCCAAGTGCCCTAGGGGGCAGCCACGGGAAGATGGAGCAGGAGCAGGCCTCCCTCTCCCAGGGCCTCTCAGTCTGTTTCTGGTCGCCTCTCGGCCCAGCCCGGCGCTGGGGGGCAGAGCTCAGTCAAAGCGAGGCCAAGGGTTGGGGAGAAGAAGACCCAGGGAGTAAACCTGGAAGAAGAGGGACATATTTGGCACATCACTGTATTTTTATACTTGGGAACTGGGGATCTCGGACCTTCGCATGCAGATTTATGCCAAATAAGATGCAAATCAGGGCCCTGCTGTTCTGAAGTCTGGCCCTTCTGTTTCCTAAGGCTGTGACCCTGGGACCCCCACTTGCCTCTAAGAAATAAAGTATGTGTGAGTTGGGGGAGAAAGGAAAGAAAAAGACAGCGATTTTATTAGAATGTACCAACTGGGCAAATATATCAGATATGCCACAAAGCACTTGAGGTAAAGAGGTAAAACGGGTGGGGACGGGGAAGTGGGGGCACGCGGGGAAAGAGGAGCGAAGTCGGGGGGCGAGAAGCCTACGGCATTTCTGCGGGTTGGCAGTAAAATGAATGATATGGAAACGAGCGCAAAGTACGTGTAGTTGCCGGGGTCGCAGAGGCCCAAGAGCGCGGATCCCGCGCTTCCTGCGTTTTCTCCTTGGTTAACTCCCGAACCCCCGTGCGTGGGGTAAGCGGACCCGGGCGGGCGGCAGAGGGAGGGCGCCCCCTGCTGGCCCAGCGCGGAGGCGACCCGGCCCTTCCCGGGCCACGCGGCGGGCGGGCGGGCGGGCAGGCGGCCGGAGGAGGGGCGCTTGCCGCTCGCCTCCCGCCCGCCTCCCGCCCGGACGCCAGACGCTGCGACTCCTAAAACTGCGAGGCGGGCGGCCGCCGACTGCTAGAGGTGGGTGTGTGCGGCTACGCGCTCCGCTCCAGGCCCCAGCCCGCCCGCCCGGGGCGCGGCCTGCGGAGCCGGTGAGGGTGGGCGCGACCGTGGGGCCCGCCACGCACGGCACCTGCGCTCCCTGCACGGCGTCCACACTGCTACCCCCAAGGCACCCGCGTCTCCCCCCGCGGCACCCCGCGGTCCCGCACATTCACTCGGCGCTCCCCACTTCGCGGCACTGAGCGCTACTATCGCGGGCATCTCCTGCTTCGGAGCAGCGCGCATCCCTCTGTCCACCGCACCCCGCGCTCTCTCACTACAGAAAAGCGCTCCACGCAGGATTCCGCGGAACCCCGCCCCGCACGGCACCCGGGGCACCAGCACACACACCCTACTCCCACCCGTTGGAGCAGCCGCCACACTCGCACCAGTGTTCAGGGCCGCTGGCTGCAGCCCCCAGAGCCCCTGGCACAGTTGGGAGGGCACGCCCTGGGGTCCGCGGCTGCCCCTGGCCAGGGACGCGGGCGGAGGCCCTCTCCCGAGCCGGCCCCGCGCGGAGCCTGGGCCCCTCTCCGGCGGCCGGCGCCCCGGGGCGGAGCCGAGCGCGATGGGCGCCGAGAGGGAGGCAGGTGGCGCAGCGGCGGCGGCGGGGGGCAGGAGGCGGAGGCGGAGCGCGCGGGGCGGGGGCCGCGGGGCCCCGTGAGACAGTCGGGCGAGCGCGCGGCAGCCGGAGCCCGGCGCCCGCGAGCCAAAGGCGCGGCGGCTGGACCGGGCGCGGGCCGCGGAGGCCAGAGACCGCCCGGGGCGGCGCTCGCGCTTTGTTCCCGCTCGGGCAGCCGGGCGGGCGAAGCGAGCGGCCGGAGCCGAGCCGGGGCATGGCCCAGGCGGCCGCCCCGCGCGCCTCGGCCCCGCCGCGCGCCTGAGTCTGGCGCGGCGGGAGAAGACGGCAGGCGGATCGCCCCCAAGTTACGGAGGCGGGGACCGAGTTCGAAGGAAAAGCCACTTCAGGAGCCAGGTCGCGACAGTGCGATCTCCTCCGTCCGCCGGACCTCCGGACCGTAAGTGCCCAGTCCGTCCCGCGCGCCGCCGTCGCTGTCACCCCGACTTCGCCCGCGGCTGCCGTGCCGGGGTCTTCATACAGCCCTTCTTGCAGCCGCGCCGAGTGTACCGGCGGCCCTCAGCACCCCCCTCCCCACTTTGCAAAGTTGGAGCCCATGGCAGGGTGGGGCCAGCCCACTCAGCGCCCACCCACTTGGACTCACTGTCATTCCCCCCTCCCCAGGTGATCTGAGAGCTTGACCTGCGGGGATGTGGTCAAACTTAAGGTGGGAACTGCGTTTGGAAGGTAGAGAGAGTCCCGCAGGCTCCCCTGACATATCTGGGCTTCCTGACAAAGGCCCTGGGCCGGGTGACAGGGGACTGGGAGGAAGCGCAAAGCGTGACCCTAGGAGAGATGGAGGTGCCAGTGGCCTGGCTGGGGTGGGTGGTCAAAGCTCCCTCGAGCCCCTCCCCCTCTTGTTTTGGTCCCCCGCTCTGCCGTTCAAGCGAGTGGTGGTCAGGAGTTAGGTGGTCTTGGGGTGAAGTCTTCTCAGACACCCCCAGGGGGTCCTGCCCAATCTGAATGGATGCGGAGAGGGGCTTGAAAGCTTTCCCGGGGTCCTGACAGCCCGCGGTGCCTCCGGCACAGCCCCGTGGCAGCGATTATGCTCACACCCTTTGGGACCCGTCCATCTGCGTGTAGGGCAGGCTGGGAGCCAGGCTGTGGGAACGGCAGGGAGGGAGGTGTGAGCCGATGTGGAGGGACAGATGGCTGGAAATTCAGCCCTAGATGGGCTTACATGAAGCAGAAGACAGTGGGGCTGGTGGCAAGCCACACTGTGAGCCACCGGGCTCTGAACACAACCCAGGCTGTCCCTCCTTCCAGCCCCTGGGAACTGTGTGTGTGCTGGGCCCAGGAGCCACAGAGTAGTGGGCAGACCCCTGTATGTGGGGGACCCTTGCCTTTCCCTCCCCCAAAAACTGTATTCCCCATTATTAGAGCCCAGGCCTGTTCCAGAGGCCAGGGAGAAAAATATTTCCTTTGAGAATAGAGGAGACTTTATGTGCCTGTGTACAGTGAGCTGAATAAGTGTCAGGCCCTGTCTTTGACCCTGTGGCCAGGATACTGCTTCATTATGTCTAACTGGGCGTGTGTTTCCTCCCCGAGACCCAGAAACAGGAGGTTCCCAGGGCGGCCACCCTCAGAGGACAGGGGTTGGCTGGGGACAAAGGGGGGTAGCTATTCTGTGTCCTAGCATTGCAAGTTGCTGCAAGGTTCGAGAAACTTCTTGAGACTGAGACCCCGGGAGAAAGGTGGGCTGAGCCTGAGAGGGTCCCTCCCTCACCTGTGCCAGAGGCCAAGGTGGCCCCTGGCATCCTGACCGCAGCACAGGGCAGGAAGGTTCTGCTCACAGGTCCTGGGCACTTTTGTCCACAGAGAGCTGGCACTGTGACGTGCACTGTGTCATTTGCCCCATGCCGCCCTTCTGTCCTCTGGCTGAGGGCAGCTCAGAAACTCAGCTGGTCCCAGGAGGCAGAGGGTCCTGCTCTGTGCAGCCAGCGCTGCCGTGTCTGAAGAGCAATGCTGTCTGGGCGGCTCTGTTGCCAGGTCACTCTTCTATGTTGAAAGGGAAAAGGGGAGACGAAGATAAGCTTAAGCAGTGGGGACAGACGTGGCATTCCCTGCTCCCGTCGAGCTGGACAGATGCAGGGAGAGAGGAGAACATCACATTAGGACCGATTTTCTGGAGGAATCCAGCTCTTTCTGTTGGTGCCTTGATCCATGTGGGATGGGAAGAAGGGAGAGTCACATGCGCGGTACCTGCTTACTCACAAGCCCAGCTGGGGCTGCAGGGTGGAGGGTTTCAGCATGATGCCTCCCTCCAGGACCCTCTGAGGCTGCCTCCGGCCACCCACCAGCCCTTTCGGGTCCACACGCTCTTCCTCTGTCACCGGGTTATCCACATAATTGAGTTACCACCTCCAGGAAATCTCTCTGATTTGGCTCCACATACTTTCATTTCTGCATGACTGGAAGAAATTAATTTTCCTTCCTACGCAAGGATCTGGAGACGCCGGAAGGCTGGGTCACTAATCCGAAAGATTCAAGCCAGCAAGGCTGCCACTTCTCAGAGGACTAGCCAGCCGATTATCCCCCCCGGGGCAGCAGGAAGGGCGGGGTCTGGGTAAAGCACTTCCCTGCTGCCCAAAACCTCCCTGGGGCTCGCAGCCCACCCCCTCCTCCCCTGCAGCTTCATGAGTGAGTTGTGTTTGGGGTCATCTGATTCATCCTCATCCTCCCATGGCACCAAGATACTCAGCATAGTGGTTGAATTCAACGGATCTGAATTCCCTGCCCAGTCAGTGTGTGGTGTGCACACGCGTGTGTGTTAGGAGTCCAGAACAGGGAAGAGGCTCTGCGACCCATCTCCCTGGGGTATGGTGAAGAGCCAGCCGCACATAGTAGGTGTTTAATTAATGGAGCTCTTGGGGAAGGAGCTGGCATTTCTGTGGGGTAGCTCTGTCCTGCCGTCCGTGCCCCATAACAGCAGCCTGAGTATAACTGCTTGTTGGGCAGTGACTGTTGGCCAGGCCCTGCCCAGCACTCGCACTCACTGTCTGAGTCTGTGTGACGCCTGCAAGGCTGGTGGAACCTTCCCTATTTCACAGATGCCCGAGAGGTACAGGCCCTTCAGGCTCAGGAGGGGAGTCTGGATTCTGACTGTCCCCTCCCTTCCCCCACACAGCATGAAGGCGGCCACCTGGCTTCTGGTCCCCACTGCTGTGCTGGCTTCCCTTTGCCCGAGGCCCTCCTGCCCTCATCCCTGGCCTTCCTGACAGGGTTCCTTCTACACCTGCGGGGACAGGTGGCTGGCTGCTTTGTGTTGACAGGGGTTAATGCCTCAGATATTGGAACTCTCACCTGGACGGGCCTCAGGCGCGGATGCACAGCTGCGATGCACAGCTGTAACTGACATCAGGGGCACCTGAGGTCGGAGGGGAGGGAGATCACCTCTGCCCTGGTTGGGTCACAGATGCCCAAGGCCAGCCCCATCCCAGCTGTCCCCAGTTCACACCAGAGCTGGGAGAGGATCATTGTTGTTCAGGACCCTCTAGAAGCCGCTGGACGTTGTCTGGCATCCAGACATAGCATCACACTGATAGGAATCCACGTCTGGGCAGCTGGTGTCACCTCCCAGGCCTGGAGGGAGGGGGTGACCTGAACTCTGTCACTTGTAATGCAAGAGTTTGGCCTTGCCATGATTGCACTCACTGCACAGAACGGGCCCCGGGAAGTATCTGCCACCCACTGTTCATTCACTGAGCAGATAGTGAATGAACACCTATGCTGTGCCAGGCAGGGGGCAGAGTAGTAATAATGCAGTACCAACAGAGCTCATGCTGCGCTAGGCTGTGTGCCGGCAAGCTTCCTGTCATTTGACCTCTTAACAGCCCCAAAGGTGGGCACCCTTGCTGTCTCACTTTTCAGACAGGGATGCTAAGGCCAGAGAGCTTCACCAGGGACAGGTGGGCAGGCTCCACACTGCTGCTCCTGTAGCGTAGAGGTTGGCCAGGCCCCTGGAGCTTTCTCCAAGTTTGGAATCCTGAGGGCCCATGTGGGGCACGTAGACACTTGCTTACACAGAGCCGCTGGAGGTCTGATGGGCCCCCATGCCTGAAGCCACTGCCTCGTCCAAGTAGGGGCAGGAGGAGGCTGGGAACTCCTGATTGGTGGGTGCGGCCTTTGAGGGTCAGGGCTCACTGGGGGCAGTTCAGAGGGGTTGACAGGCTCTTCTCTGGAGTATGTCACAGCCTCTAGGAGACTGGGCCTCCCAGGTCCCAGCCAGGCTGGGCGGGCACTACGCTGTGTATTACAAGAAATCAGTCACTTGCTGGCTTATTTTGGCTGATGCCTGTGGCTCTCAGTCTCCTCGGGACTGTTTGGAACAATCAACCGCACCTCCAAATCTTTTCCTGGGGTCCTGCCCTCAGTCACATGGGCAAAAAGAGCAGGTCTGTTTCTACTTCTGTGGTTCCCCAAGGCTGGGACCTCCTCCCCTTTGCATGGGGCCCAGATAAGGCTGAGTGAAGGGCAGGGGCTGGAGGAGAAGGCCCAGCCCCCAAGTGCCTCTGAGGGCCGCCTTTAGCCAAGAACGCTAATGCAAGCAGGGCTCTGCTGTCTGGAAATAAATTCCTGGAGTGGAAGCCGCCCTTGCTGCATCAGTGGAAAGACGCAGGCAGAGACCTGGCGTTCAGGATGGAAACTTATGATGATGAAAGTGATAAATAATTGGTACCTGGTTCCCACTTCTGAGTTCACAGCCAGACCCAGGGCGCAGGGCGCAGGGTTGGGCTTGAGCCTCAGACGTGCGAGAACCAGAACGTGCTTCCCGCAGCGCTGTTTGCAGCACGGTTTCCTGCAGCAATAAAACAGAAGTTAAGACTTCTGCTTTTTGTAATTCGTGGGACCTCACGGTGAGCCAGATGTCACTGGAAGGAAAACAAAGATGCGTAATAAGGAAGATGTGTCTTCGCCAAGGCACCAGCGCCCCCTCTGCTGCTCAGCCACACGCTCTCGGCTGCCTGCCTCCGTCCTGTTCGCTGTCCACATACACTGTCAGCCTTCCAGGGCCTGAGGTGCTGGGAGCCACCCAGGCTGCCCCTGAGGCCGGGAGTGTGGTGGACGTGGCAGGAGGAGGCTTGGAGAGGATGTCCCGGCACTGGGGCATTCTCCTGTTTACTTGAGCAGAAGAAAGTCCACCGTGAGGGCAGGGCAGGAGGAGAACGGGCAAGACAAAAGGTTTCTGGACCTCTCGGGAAGGTCAGGAGAGCTCCTCACGCTCCGATGGCCCTGGGTGACGTGTGGGACTCACAAGAAAGCTCTCGCCCAGTGGTCTTGACCTGGGAGCAGCCAGGAAAAGTAAGCCCTTCAGCTGCTGTGGGTCCCTCTTACGCGGGGGGCGGGGGGGTGGTGCAAGGGGAGGTGTTGACAGGCAAGGGGGGTCTTCAGGAGCAGAGG